CTTCTAAAATTAAAAGTAAAATTTGGTTGCCCTGATAACGCAACCACGTTACCATAGACAACAATTAGAAGTCAAATAAAATTGTAGAAACATAGATGGGCTGGCTGTCAAATCACGCAAACATTTTTAGAAAATAAAATCTGGTCAATTTCATTCTTTTTTTTTTTCTTTTTCAATAATGCAATAAAAACCAATTTAAAGAATAGTTTTCAAAGAAACCTAAGTTTTCTAGAAAAAACGTTTGGAAGTTACTTGTTAATATTTTAATTTGTTGTTTTTTTCTTAATTATTTCAAACACAGATTATTTTTGCAAAGTTTTTAATATTTTAAGCCTTTATTTGCTGTAGTTATAAAAGTCAAACAAATTAAAAAGAAAAAGGAAAGATATCGACTAATATTATTCTCAAAAATTTATTGTTATCTGTGCTTAGCATTTGGTTATGACAATGTAGTTTTTTGCATTATCGTCTTTTAATCGCTGGTTTATTCAATGCTCAACACATAACTTTGTACAAAACAGTCTTATCCAGTATCCGCCTTGAGTTAGCATTTTTGCTTATATATATATATATATATATATATATATATATATATATCGTACCGTTAACGTCTCTAGAAATCATTAATTGCATAGAAGTGAAAAAAGAACATCTGCTTTCTTAAAAAAAACATTTACGATACGTTTTGCGTACAGAAACAGTTATACTTTTGATTTGTTTCCTCTGAAAAGAATGCCATTTGAAAGCTCTTTTGGAAAACAATGTTTTGTTAAGAAAATTTAAATTGAATTTTATTCACAGGTTTATTTTTATTTATTCAAGGTTTATTTGTTGTAAATTCTTATGAATAATAGTGAATAAAATGATTTTTTCCTTAACTTAGAAATCTTTATGATAAAATTTTTGTATTTGGATAAATGTTACTTAGTGTTTCTAATAATAATATTTTTCTTCTATAAACGATCACATTCATTCTTTTTTCCAAAAAGAGTAGTATTTTTGCGTATTATAAATATTAACACATAAAGAATATCAAAAAAAATTTTTTACACGCATTAGTTATAAAAAATTACTCACCTTTTTCGTTTTATTAACTGAAGAATGAAACAGTACCATCGATGATTTGAAAACGGTTCAAGAACATGTATGAGTTGGCTATTGCAGGTCAAATTGCATAGTTTATTCACTCAACCTCTCAAACTTTTTTCAATTTCATCAATTTATAGAATTTGCTACCTGACGATAAAATTACGAAAGATTATCTGGAAGGCCACATCGGTGGCAGAGTTAGAAGTGCAAAAAAAAATAGTTTTTGCTAGATGTGATCGTCTTTAGAAACTTGTATTTTCTTCTTTTGCAATAGGTACTGTAATTTTTATTCTAGTTTTTTTTTTTGCGTTTGAAAGCCAGTCTTCTGTGAAACCAGAGGAATGACGGAATACAAGTAACAATAAATTACAAAGAAATAAAAATAAAAATAACTGGGGTTAAAGTTATGTTCCGAACTTTTTAAAAAAGAAACATTTTTAAAAGGGTAATTTTTGCGTAACATTGTTATAATTCTAAAGTGGTGTTTTTATGTCATTATGAGTTGCAATATGTTTGATGAGAATAGTCCCTAAAAATCCTCAGCCATGTAACATTTGACTTCTCCGTTATTGCCAGTTAGAATTTTGTTTCATTTGAAATTTCGTTATGTGTAAAGATGCTATAGTTTGGCTAGTTTACTAATATGTGACCGATTAGAAATCACCTGGCAAAATTTTTCAAAAACTAATTATTTCTATTAGTTTTTAAGTCTGCGCCGCTCTGTTTCCTCACTTAACTTTCTTGGCTTAAATATTTGAAGCTGTACGTTGGCTATTGATACCGCATCTTGTTTTTATATTGTCTTTCCAGCAGCGTATAAACTTGCAAATTTGCTGAAAACACAAAAACGATGACCCGGAAGACCACTCAGAAACAAAGACTCAAAGCAAATCCCGATTATCTGCACTATATTTCTTCAGTTTTTATGGCTTCTAATAGTCCCACAGCCTCGTTGTAGTGTAAAATTGTTTCATCCATGACACGATAGCTCCTTATTGATATTCGCTTTACTGCCTAAAAAGGAAACTCAGTTTGAAAGAAATTATCTACCTCTTCGAGTGTAACCAACTCAAAAATTCAAAAGACTTCTTGAATTCTATTTTCTACTCCACAAATCTCGAAGTTCTAAAAAATGGTACTTCTTCGCAACAGTGACAGAGAAACTTTTTGGATGGAGCAGGACGCACAATGAAAAAAACAGCAACGAGAGCCAGCCAAAAGAAGACATTTTCAGACCAGGTCCTAAGCACCAGCAACTTTTATAAGTAGGCAGTAAACCATTTATTAGAAATATTGGTGGTTACTTTATTTTTGAAAGAAAGCAAAAGAGAAAAAACTTTTCAGCTACTGGGTTTTATGTTGGCTTAATTACTTATCGCAGGTACACAAAAATTCTATTGAATTATGGGAAGCACTGCTAGAAGAACAATGGCAAAACCATATTATTGGTTCACAAACAGTAATCAGTGCGGAATATTTAGGTTAAACAGTTTAATTAAAAAACAAAACGGTACAGAATGAAGAGACATTAAAAGAAAAAAAATAAAAATTACAAAAATCTGTAGAAAGCGAACCAGAATACGAGTTTCTTAATACGGCTACGTTTATCAAAACTTGCGATTTCTTTTGCACTCCAGAATAGTCTCACGCCAGTGTGCTTTTCAGAAATAACCTTTACTGACTTTGCAATCAAGTATTAATTTCCAGAAATTGGCAAGTTTAAAAAAAATTTAGGTGGACTGGAGAGAGCGTGCGACTTGATGTGAAATTTCCACGTCAAGTAGCATACTTATCTATTCGAGTTCACTAAAGTGTTTCAGATGATTACAACTGCTTCAATAAATGTTCTAAACATATTTCCTCCAGTAACAACTTCAATTGTCAAATCTGTTTTATTAATTGTCGTCACTCTGAATTTTATCAAAAC